AAGGTAAGATATTTCTGATGTACACATAAACATATTACAGTTGGCAAAAACCAATCATTTCTTTTCAATGACGTATGCGTCATATAGCCGATGCATGTGTGCATATTTAAACATCATTACTCTCGCTCTACTAATATCATTTTAATAGGTAAATATAGTCGCATGCACAGATGACAGTATTTACCTTTTTGTGCTTTGCTTATTTATCTTCACATAGACAAGAATCGACTGTGCTTGTTTTTTCTCTGATTCGAATCCTGTATATTTCGACTTCATAGACACAAATAATTGTCTAATAGTTGTAAATTGTCCTTCTAATATTAAGACTGTAAAATAGTTAAGAGAATAATAGAAATTATTCCTATTTTCTCTGGACATCTATCACAAAATGGACGATTATCCAAATGTTCATAGATAAACTAGCAACAGTAGACTCTTTATGGTTAAATTTCGTCGATTATTCCTCTAATAGATTTCTTTCTTGCATCGGCTTTTCCGAATACAGCTACTTAATGAATTATATGACAGAACATTTCAAGTCGAAAGTAAGTCAGAATGCAATAAAATTCACCAATACCAATGACACAGTGTGCGATCAGGATACTCATACATTTCTTGTGTCATCAAAATTTACGAAGTTTTTCGTCATTTTAAGATTTAAAGTCCAGTGTTGTCTTATTCAAGTGTCTATTTGATATCTCAATTGAACAACTACCTTCAGGCTTTTACCATCTATTGTAACACGTTTCATTATGCTGGAAAATTTATCGGAAATAATGAACAGAACTGAAAACAAAGAAGACATTACTCTGATTTGGTTCGACTCAAACATGGATTCTAATAATCATGTAGAACAAACAAAGAAAAAATTAATTGAAATCAATGATTATGTTGTATTCCATACTCAACTAGAATCTTGTATTACTTTTATTCAATCAATTTATAATGAAAAAATCTTGTTTATTACTTCAATTTATGATGTATTACAAATATTACCTCATATTACAACTTTAACTCAAATTGACAGCATCTTTATTTTCAACTGGAAAAAAGTTAATAATGAACATTTAGTTCTTGAAAATTCTAAACTTATTGGTATCTATAATGAACTCGATATATTATGTTTATCAATTCAAGAACATATCGATTTTCTTGATCAACATTTACAAACATTCAGCTTCTTTGATCAAGATGAGTATTTGACAAACGATCTATCAAAACAAACTGCTGATCTTCTTTGGTTCCAACTTTATCATGATATTCTCTTTGAGTTAACATACGATGAAGAAGCTAAACATGAAATGATCGATGCGTGTCGTTTCTATTATCAAGACAATATCAAAGAATTAGAAATAATTGGAAAATTTGAGAAAGAATATCGATCAGACGAAGCTCTTCAATGGTATTTGAAAAAATCTTGTATCTACAAAATCATGAAAAAAGCATTACGAACTAAAGATTTCAATCAACTGTACAAATTTCGATATTTTATGAGAGATTTGACAGAATGTATTGTTCAAAAATATCAAGAAATTGCCCGATCTGGTACAGAAATATTATTCATGTATCGAGGAATGACATTAACAAGTAATCAAATCGAACAATTCAAAGAGAATGAAGGTAAACTGGTTTCAATTAATGGATTCTTGACAACAACTACTGTTCGTTCAACTGCGTTGAATCAAGTGGTGAAGCCTTCGAAACGAACTGATCTCATTCCTGTTCTCCTAGAAATTCAGTGCAATCTAAAAAATCTAAGCAACAGCATTCATTTCAGTGAATTTTCATATGAAGGACAACAAGGAATTATCTTCGATTCAAATACTACTTTTCTATTGAAGAGTGTGAATATGGAGAAAGAAATGTGGTTGATTGAAATGATTGCATCGAATGAAGGTCAAATGATCAAAGAAAAATATATTAAAGACTCACGTCGTCAAATGGAAGATCTGAACATAAAAACTCTTTTCGGACGATTAATGTGTGATATAGGTGAATGGAATCAATCACAACAATTCTTTCAATATTTATTAAATGATTCTAATATCAAAAATAAAGATCTCACAAAGATTGAATATAGTCTTGGTGAAGTTCTTCAATGGAAAGGAGAATGGAGCGAAGCACGGAAGTATTATGATAGTGCTTATGAACGGATGAGCAATGTGAAACCAACACAGATCAAAGATTCAGCTGATATATTCTTCAATATTGGTGAAACTCTTTATCTAGAAGGAAAGTACGAAGAAGCTCTTGATTATTACGAACGAGCATTAACAATGCGAAAGGAATATTATTCCTCTACTAAATTTGATAGATCCTTTCTACCGAATCACCAACATAGCCCTTTGCTAAGTCGTGTTCACGCGTCATTCTGGTCGATTTTATTGAATTCAGGTGGATTCTTTCGATCATTTCCCAAATGGTTTTGGAATAGATATTTTCTTGGTATTTTTCGTTGGTTCTACTCTAACAATGCCGAAAACAGTATGAAGCCAACGGAAGAACAGTCGTGCAAAACTCAGTTACAAGAAACATGTCGAAATTTACAGGAAACCAGTAGGTTACAATTTAGTGAGATTCACTTGGATGGTCATGTGCCTATTGCTACTAGTCTTCGTAGCTTAGGCAAAATCCTCTTTAAGCAAGCCAAGTATAACGAAGCATTCATCTTTCATCAACGAGCACTGACAATGTTCGAAGAATATTATCAACATCCTCATATCAATATCGCTATTAGTCTTGGCTACATTGGTCAAGTTCTTACATATCAAACAAAATTCGATGAAGCCCTCGATTTCTGTCAACGAGCGATGTCAATCTATACAAGATATTATCCAAATGGTCATGTATACATCGCCTCTACTCTCAACTACATTGGTTACATTCTCTATAATGAAGGCAAGCATGATGAAGCTCTAAAGATTTATGAACGAGCATTGGCAATACAACAAAAGTATTATCCATCTGGGCATGTCGATATAGCTTATACTCTTTCTGGAATAGGAAATGCCCACTATGCACAAGGAAAATATGATGAAGCGGTGGCATTTAACGAACGAGTATTGGAAATCGCACAGAAACATTATTTTCCTGGTCATGACGACATTATTTGTACTCTAAACAACATTGGCTATATACAGAAGAAACAAACAAAGTATGATAAATCTCTTGATTCTCATCGACGAGCATTAACACTTCAAGAGAAATATTATCCATCTTATTATGCAAACATTGCTGAGACTCTCAATTACATCTCTGTTGTACTACTTTGTCAATCAAAATATGATGAAGCTCTATGTTGTTGTCAACGAGCACTAACGATGCAGGAGAGCTATTATCCTTCGGGTAATGTCTCGATAGCTTCGAGTCTCAATAACATGGGCAACATCTTAGATAAGCAAGGGAAATACAATGAAGCGATTGATTTTTATCGACGAGCACTAGCAATTGTTGAAAAACATAATTCATTTGATCATTCTTCCATTGCATTCTATATGAACAACATCGGAATTATGTTATGCAAACAAGAAAAGTATGACGCAGCTCTTGATTATCATCGAAGAGCACTCGAAATACAAGAAAAATATTGTTCATCACGTCAGCGTGATCTAGCCAATACTCTCAATTACATCGGTCATGTTCTTATTGGACAGAAAAAATATAATGAAACGTTGAATTTTTATGAACGTGCACTCGAAATACAAGAGAATTATTATCCAAATGGCCATGAAAGCATTGCAACAACGCTCATTAATATTGGCACAACATTTCGTGAGCAACAAAAATTCGATAAAGCCATTGAGTATCATCAGAAAGCATTAGAAATTCAAAAGAAATATTATCCATCGGATAGTGTCTTAATAGCTGATTCCATCAATCGTATCGGTCATATTCTGTACGATGACAGTAAGTATGATGAGGCGTTTGACTATTATCAACGGGCACTCCAAATACAAGAAAACTTCTATCCTAATGATCACATTGAAACTTCTCGTACTTTAAACTTCATTGGTAACACTCTGTATAAACAAAAAAAGAACGATGAAGCTCTTCAATTTCACCGACAAGCCTTGACTATTCAAGAAAAAAATTCTGAATTTGCTCAGAACGATATTGCAAAGAGTTTGAACTCCATTGGTAATGACCTATACAGTCAAGATAAATATGATGAAGCTATTGATTTCTATCAAAAATCATTAGATATTCGTGAGAAACTTGCTCCAATTGGTTATGTTGGCATCGCTACCGTTCTTAACAATATTGGATTAGCCTATTATGGACAAAGAAATTATGATGAAGCTCTTCATTTCTATCAACGAGCACTAGTATTCCGAGAGAACTTTGACGCAACTGATCATGTTGGCATTGCTGATATCCTGATCAACATCGCCAATGTTCTAAAAGATCAACGAAAGTATAATGAAGCCATTCAATTTCAACAAAGAGTATTGACAATTCGAGAAGAAAAGTATTCCTCTTGTCATGAGAAAATTGCAGATAGCTTGAATTGCATTGGTCACATTCGACTTGATCAAAAAGAATACAATCTAGCACTCAACTGTTATCAACGAGCTTTAACCATCCTCGAAAACTGTTATCCATCTGGTCATGCCGATATTGCTGGAACTCTACGATATATCGGTAATGCATTATATCTACAAGAAAAGTATGAAGAAGCTCTCGATTTCTGTCAGAGAGCATCGAAAATGTATGAACAACATTATCCATCTGACTATGCAAACCTTGCTTTTTGTCTGAATAATATTGGTAATATCTTAAGTGATCAAGGACATTATGATGAAGCTATTGATTTTTATAATCAAGCACTGGCATTCTACAAGAAAGATTCGTCAAATCATTCGAGTATTGCTACTTGTCTGAATAATATAGCTCAAGCTTTAACAAACCAAAGAAAGTATGATGAAGCCCTCGATTTTCAACAACAAGCCTTAGCAATTTTGAAAAGTAACTTGTCTAGGGATCAATTCAGAATTGCTAACTGTCTAATGAAAATTGGTAATACCCTGTTTCACCAAAGAAAATATGATGAGTCTCTTGATTCCTATCAACAAGCATTAATCATATTCGAAATACATTCCCCCAATGATCACATTCAAATCGCTATTTGTCTATCCTGGATCGTTGCTAACTTTAGTAGAAAGGCCCAATTCGATCTAGCTATTGAATATTTGGAAAGATGGCTATTGGTTATTGAAGCTAGTTTGCCTTCAAAAGATCTCTCTATCATTAACGTATTTGCCTGGTTATTACAGATACATAGAACAAGAGGCCAGCATGAACTCTCTCTTATATATGAACAAAATTGTTTCTTGGCGCGTCTCAAGTTTCTACCACCAGATCATGAGGACATTGGCAATAGTTTATCGAACGTAGGTGAAATTTACGAAAATCTTGATAAACTGGCGTTGGCACTTGATTACTACAAGCAAGCATTAGTCATCTACAGAAAATGTTTGGCTCCCTGGCATCATAAAATACAGCAAATGGAATGGAATATCGAACGACTTTCCGAAGAACTTGAAATCGAACTCGATTAATCAGTTTGAATTTTCACATGTAATTCTTTTCTAGTAAACATTATAGCTAGATCATAAATAATTCCTCCATACGATACTTTTCCTAATAAATCTCATAGAACTACTAGTCAAAATTCGTAGAAGGATCATATCTCATTTTGTGGCACACCTTTATGTGACTATTTCATTTTGTGTAAATAAATAAAATGTAGTATGTATATTATATTGAATTTTGACTAGTCACGATAGACTGGTGTATCGACTTTCAAAGAAACAGTCTTTAATATCATTAAAATTATTTTATTCGTACAAGAGCACACTTTTTTGCACGATTTTCACGAAAGCAAACATGCAAAACAGAAAAAAATCATACAGACCGCTAGAGAAAAAGCTCTGTCTATTGGACAGTAAGGAAATCTCTAAGGACCAGAACGAGCGTTCACTTTTGGTGGTGGTTCGAGCTCCGATATATATATATATACGGAACGAATTTGGTCGATGAATGCGTAGGTAGGATGATTGGAACGGTGGAGGGAGAGCTGTGTAATTTCATGGGTTAATCATGATCAGAGAAATCAGTCGATCATTCGCCCCTAGGTGTTCTTTTGTTTGGAGTTTAGTGACAAAGGATGCGTATTCATTTTATTTTCTTGAGTATCATAAGGTTTGGGCTAAATTGATTGAAACATTTCTTTCGTTTCTTTTTCACTGTGAAATGAAATTCGTTATCAGCTTGTAACTAAAAAATAAAACTGATAGATATTCGTCAAGTGAAATTCTATTAATTGATTATTACTCGATTTTTTGAGGAATATTAATAGTTTGTAAAACTTGTAATTTCTTCGGTTCCACACCAGGATTAGCTGCCATTATTGCTGTTAATGTACATCCGAACAGTCGACTCAAACTGTGAAACGTTTCACCTTCCTGAACTTTGTGGAGAAACATATTTGATATGCTATCCCAATTACAATCTAAGTACGAGAAAATATATGTTTTCAAATTTTAAAGATATGAAACTCGATGCATTCATTGTTTCTCTTGCTAAAATGTGTATTCATGTACTTAGGTCTTACTGATAAATTTTCTATTTGAAAAGTATCCGTTGTTTAACCATATATACCTCTGTGACTGTGTACGCATGGCTAAAGAGAGAATAGAAAGATGGCATTTAAGACGTTTATCTTTCTTTTCTTATTGTTTTACTCATTAACTCTCTGTGAGAATAGATCATATAAATGATGAGACGTCCATGATATAAATATTGACATCAAATGCTGGTTTTTCTCAATAGTATACTTTGTTGTTCGCTCTTCTAATTTATTTTTACACAAGATGTCCCCCAAAGACTGTTTCTAAGATTCTTTCATGTTATAGAAATCGTCGAGAAGATTTTGTTTGTACGAAATAAAACCACTATTATTAATAGAAACGATGAACTCTGGGATGGACAATAATAAAAATTGTAAACGTCGTTGAAGTAGGGTCTATATGTGAAACAGGATAAAAACACCAAAGCCATCATGACAAAATGTTAATACATGTATCATTATTTTTCTGTATACCAAAGATCAACTCGTCAAACATTACTCTTACTATCACAGATCGTACCATCCATATCTGCTACCGTTTGTGAAGTAGCCAGATCGTTCATTTCTCTTCTCATATACTTCAACAATTAGTAAGCATCGTATTTCAGAAGGATTTTCAGTAAGTGTATGGAATATCGAAATCTCTTATTGTTTGCTCTGTATGACGTTAGTTCGTTTTTCTCCCCAGATCAATCCTCCTCGGTCGTACATGGCTGTGTACCAACCAATTATGGCGGATAACGGCAACTGTTCGCACTAGTCATTTACGACTATCGTGAACGACGCTTTACGATGTAATACGCTCATCGTAAACAGTGACAGGTGAACGTTGCCGTTAACGACTACCGTAACACTACAGCGAGTGTATACGTGCAAAAGATAAATAGCTGTAAAGCACTTTATACGCTACCTGTTTTCAGTAGCCGTATCCAGCAGTCGTAAACAACTGTTTACCTCATACTACGCCCATCACAAACGAACAACGTAAAAACCCACCGTTTACGGCTGCCGACAAATTACACCGGCTGTAAGCGATAAGCCGGTCATTCCAACTTACCAATCAGATTTCGAGATAATATTTCTCAGCTATACAAAAGCTGCACACCAACACATATAACCCTCATTCAAAAGAGCGTTCTCGATAACCCTAGGATCGGCCCGAGCATGACTATGTGTTGCCTCGGTAATAAGAGAGATAGACCCTGCTGAAATCTGATTGATCCATTTTTCGACCAATCAAATGGCGAGATTCTTTTTCTCAGTGAAACGCAAAGAAGAGACCCACACATATACCTCTCATTCGAAAGGCCGTCCCCGAGTATCCTAGAGTGTGAGATATGTGACCGTGTTGGGCTGAAAAAGGCGACCTCGAGCTGCCTTGTTTTGCCACGTTTTCTCTGTCGTATACTGCAACCGTGTGTCGCCGTTTACGGCACGGTGATTTGCGGCCGTAATACGGTGTATAGGAATACGGTCGTGTGCGGCCGTATTTTCGCCGTATACGGCGGAATTCGTCATCGTATGCGGCTGTTTAAGGTCTTATCTAAGCGTCGTAATGCTTAATCTTGGTGTATGTGGATGTTCTATTTCTGCGAAACGATCGTATACGGCCGTGTACGATTATATTAGGACCGTATGCGCTGACGTGTACGGCCGTGTGGGCCTTAAGTGGTTTCGTGTCACGGCGTAAATACGGTCGTTTACTGTTGTTGTATTGCGTCGTTTACGGCACGGCGAAATACGGCCGTATACGGCATCGTAAGCGGTCGTATCTGGTCGCCGTAATGTTGGACCTGAGTCCTTTTTTAACTCATAGACCTAAGACATATGTTACGACACCTATATGCCGGCGTAGAAATTTCAATTATTTTGGCGTATTGCATTTCCTTCATCAAATAAAGCCTTGGACGACAGTATTCGTCTGTATTGAGCACTTTCTGGCACACTTACTGCTGTCTATGTGGCGAGTCGTATTTTCTTGGTTGCGAGTGTGTCGCGAACTTATGCAATCGATATTTGATGGCTTCGCAGCTATCTCCAAATAAGTGGTCGATGGAAAATCATTAAAACTGTGGTATGTAACAGTGGTGTTTGTTGGAATTTCTTTCAATAAATTTTCTAGTTCACTAGTTTGTTGAAGATATTGTTGAGGATCGTAATTTTCCATAAGTTGTGTTATATCCATGAACTGATTGTTATCCATATTGAGGAAATCTGGCTCAAGCTGATTGATGACCTATGAAGTAAATAGAATTCGAAAGCGTAACATATCAGTAACTCACCTCTCTTGCATCAAAGAGTTCGTCTATATTTGTCAATAAGCTTTCTGATTCATATACAAGATCTGATGAAGAAGGATGTGAGAATTGAAAACTTGGAACTGTCTGGGATTGATATGGAACACCAAGATATTGAGAACAATGCTCGTAGCCTGTATTCATTTCCATTCGCATCTCAATGCGATTTTCGGCGGTGTCTGGAAAATTGAAAGCTTGATACTAACCAAAAAATTTCTTCAAAACAACCTCACTTACTTTCTTCACTGATAGACAGTTGAGGAAAACTAGCATTGGTTTGAGAAACGCAAGTATTATGATTTGGGAAAGGTTGATCGCCATTGTTGGTATCGAATATCGAATTTGAGCTCTTCTGTTGAATGTTTACCTGTAATGTGGTGACCAAAGCAGCATCTAAACATGATATTATTTAATAAGGTCTTATGCACTTGATTTATGCAAGAATGTCAATGGTAATGCAAGATCAATGCTACAGTTCAAAAAAATCATTGTTTACCATAACTGCGCAAAGGAACTGGATCCATGGCATCCCGTGAAGACGAATCATTATTTATTGGATTCTTTCGATGTCGTTTAACTATTGTACTTTCAGTTTTGTTCCTCTGATGTGAACGTTGTCCGCCGTGTTTAGCACAAAGTCCGCGTGATTGAGACTGCTGCGGGCATTTCGAAATGCGGCACATTGGTCGCCACTTATGGCCATCAAATTGCTTTTCTCTGCCCTTCTTATCTACCTTGAACTGTCCTTTGTTGTATCGCGTTGCTGTGCTAGCTCTGCCAGTAGGCATATCAATCTAAAACGTGATATAATAGACATACGTTGTATTCCATGAAAATTTTTGTACCACGAACGTAAAGAATACATATTATTGAAAAATTCATCGACACCGAAACACTTCTCACAGAAATGAGATTGTAACAGTTTTTCAGTAGTTCTCAGATACAAAGCGAACTGTGAATTAATTTATTCACCAACAGCGATGAGATCAGTTCCATATGTGGGCTTTAAAATGCTAAGTTGGCTGTGAAAAATGGCGCGAATGTACGTTGAATGTATATCTAGTATTTATGTTGGCAAGGGTTAGCCTATCAAACACTAATCCTCACACTACTCCGAGATGAATATCTGAAAACATACGTGATTGGTTTTTAATCATTATCTCTGCTTGAACAAAGAGTCGGGGTTTAGAGCATAATTTACACTTCAAACATGCTGCTCATAGTCGACATATCAGTCGAAAAAAAACAAGCCAACAGACACTTACAATCAACTTATGTCAACAACTTTTTACTTGATGAAAAAAGATTTCGGTGAGACTTTCACTAAGCCTATAATTTGATTTATGCTATCACTAGCTATGAATGGAAGACGGGTAAGAACTTTCTGGTACACTTTGATCACTTGTACTAAAAATTGGTGATAAGCCAATTTCTAGTATTGTGATCTCGAACCAGCACAGAAATTGGACTGAACACCATGATGCCCATTGTTGTCTAGAGTTTTAAATTCTCGATTGAATAGTGTAACATGGCTTAGCTTTCTATTCATGATAGATGCAGATTCCTGACTCATACTGAAAAGTGCCACTGTCTGTTATGTCACGTAGTTATCGATAAGGCTCTATTGGTGACTTTTTCCTTGGCAAAATATTTTGTCGATTTCGTTACTGTAAGACATTCTGCGGAGAGACTTTTCTTCTAAAAGAAAAAAAAACAAATCAAAGCTTCAGTTTATGACAACTCTATGTGATATAGAACAATTACTTGGCGAAGTTGTTGCTAAGTAATATATACGAACTGGTTATCAGGATCATTTTGAGAGTACTATCCAAATTGCAACATGTTTCATATGCGATCATTTAATAGTTCATTCGAACTTGGACAAGATTTCCTTCCCATAACTAGAAAAATTGTGTACAGAATCGAAAACCAAGAACTCTTGCAAAATGAAGCATGAGGAAAGTCGAAATGAGAAGAGCAGCCAATAAATCGGACCTATATGGCATTCTAATATCCATTTCAAAAAAGAATAAGTGTGAGTATTTTTTGAATAAGTTTTGATAGAAACCATTGGTAGAAAAATGCGGTTTTCACCGTTTAAAAGAGGAGATGAAACTGCATCGAATAATCTATATCAGATTTTTTTGACAAGTTTTCTCAGAGTCTCTCACCAATTTTTTCAAAAAATCTAGACTTTTGAATAAGTTTATACGGTGGATTTTTTCGTTGAAAAATGAGAAAAAAAGGTCAATTTTCTATGAAAAATTTGCCGATAACAGACAGGAAAATGTGCATAACTCATGATTGGCTAAAACTTATAACATAGGAGTTACAAATTCTATACACAATCAGTTAACGATGCTAATGTACTCCTGAAAATTGAGATCGTAAAACTTTTACGTTAGACAATCGTTTGTGTTTAATAAACTTAATGGTAGACTCTGAGAAAACTTGTTCAAGAAAAACTGGTATAGACAGTTCGACGCAGTTTCATCTCCTTCTTTAAACGATGAAAACCGCACCGC